AAAATGCATATTTCTGACATCCCTCAATAAAAATAAAGACTGTTTCCTGGGACACATAAACTGTGACCGATGTCTTTCACTAGCAGAGACTAGAATTTGACGGCATCCACTCAGGGACACCTGGCTTTCCCTGTGTGCTTTGTACACACTAAGAATTTTCTGGTAAATCAGGCATGATTCAGTTTTTTTTTCCTCTCTCTCTTTGTATTTGTGTATTTCGTTCGGGATTTGGGGGCATCTGGTAGTTTGTCAGGACTGGAATCCATGCCTCACCAGTGAGTAGCAGAACAACTCTTTTAACCTCAGTTTTCTCATCTAGAGGTAACGTTAGTATCTTCTCATAGTGTTGTGTAAACATAAAAGACGATTTGCAAAGTGCTTTAAAAGTAGTGTCAAACACATAGTGTGTCCCTACAAGCTGGTAAGTCGTCGTTGTGGTGATGATGATTACAGCATTGGGAAGCTGGTCCATAGTTAGGAATGTAGGAAGTAGTAGCCATCAGTTCTTACCACAGACAATAGGGACTGTGTTCTGAATGGGTCTCAGCTCAGACTTGGGAAATGTCTCACCAGGTTCCCAAAGAGCCCACTTGGTATCTTTATATCATAAAAGAATAAGATGTCAGAAAAAGAGACATTCTCGGTGTCTATACAGTAGCTGTTGACCTGCCGACCCTGGGCCAGGTCCGAGGCTGTCAGGCCAGTCTGTAGGAGAGATCCGGAGAAGGAAGAAGAGAGAGTCCCAGTGGTTGGATGGGGAGGCCACCCTCTGAAACAATCATCAACAGAAATCTTGCTAGAAGGGAGGGAATAAGTCACACATTGAGGTATGGCCGGTTGAAGCTAGAGAAGTAGATGAACTGGACACCACACACTGCTAAACCGAAAAGCTAGAGAGAGGTGAGGTAAGAGAGGGTTGGAGAAAGAAGGATACTCCAGGTGAGGCAGTGAAGACAACGAGATGTAGATGAGGGGAAGGACCCATTGGAATGGATCATTACTGATGGACCCCCTGCCCCCTTCAGTGGAGGGGGACTCCCTTCCTTTCATGTGGGACTTGGTGCTATTGCTATTGAACCAGAGGCGGGTAATTATCGTGAAGGGGCCGGGTTGGATGCCAGCAGCTACCTCTCCAAGATTGAGGGAGCAGATACTCAATTTAAAATCTGCCCTCCCTTCTGCAGAGTGGCATGACAATATTTGCAGACTGTATCTCCCTTTTTTTTTAAATTGAAAACTAGATTTTTTTTCGTTTTTTGTTTTTGTTTTGAGGTGGAGTCTCACTCTGTCACCCAGGCTGGAGTGCAGTGGCACAATCTCGGCTCACTGCAACCTCCACCTCCTGGGTTCAAGCAATTCTTCTGCCTCAGCCTCCCCAGTAGCTGGGATTACAGGCACGTGCCATCATGCCATGATAATTTTTTTTTTTTTTTTTTTTTTTGGTAGAGATGGGGTTTCACCATGTTGGCCAGGCTGGTCTTGAACTCTTGACCTCTAATGATCCGCCCCCGCTTGGCCTCCCAAATTGCTGGGATTACAGGCATGAGCCACCGTGCCTGGCCTGAAAACAAGTTTGTGTGTGTGTGTGTGTGTGTGTGTGTGTGTGTGTGTGTGTGTGTGTTTGAGACAGAGTCTCGCTGTGTCACCCAGGCTGGAGTGCAGTGGTGCATTCTCGGCTCACTGCAACCTCCACCTCCCAGGTTCAAGCGATTCTCCTGCCTCAACCTCCCAAGTAGCTGGGACTACAGGCGTCTGCTACCATGCCTGACTAATTTTGTATTTTTAGTAGAGATGGGGTTTTCCATGTTGGCCAGGCTGGTCTCAAACTCCAGACCCCGTGATCCGCCCACCTCAGCCTCTCAAAGTGCTGGGATTACAGGCATGAGCCACCATGCCCAGCCAAAACTAGTATTTTTAATATATCCTTGGGATGGTTGAAAAATTAAGGTAAAGAGATTCTAAATTTTCTTCTAGGTTATTCAGGAAGGGTTTCATGGAGAAAAGTAAGAGGAAGAAGAAGACTTAGTAAAAGAAAAGAAACAAAGGGAAAGGGGCGGATAGTTCCAAAAGCGAATTCTGTTTCAGGTGTGAAGAAAGGTCACAGAGCTGGGGACAAGAATTGAGGAAAGGGAATAGAGATGGAGCTGGCAGTTGCTTGGTAGCTCAAAGATTGTAAACTTGGGAATAGGAACTGCCAAGGAAATCTAAGAAGGGGCTGGCATCCCAAAGAGGAAGTTAGGAACTGAAATGCTAGCGTTGCATCTGTAGGGTAGGGGAAGAGGAAACTATGAGATAGACAGCATTCTGACCCACACCATGGGCGGGTGCGTGGGAGACTGTTAACAAGCAGGACGTTTCTTCACCACATGAACAAATGAAGGTGGAGAGGGATGGCTTGCTCAGCGGGGCCACCCGGACCGTGGTTGAGACCTGAGCCTCTGGTGTCAGTCAAGGCATGGCTCTGATCTGTCTGACAGCAAGGAACAATGCTTGCTGTTCAGATACACATCAGCCAAGGCATGGCTCTGATCTGTCTTAACAGGAACAAATGCTTGCTATTCAGACACACGTGCTCCACAGAAAACGAGATTTGTAGAAGCCAAAGAGAAAGCTTCTCTTTTTTCTTTAACTTTGTATTATACAATATTTGACATATACAAAAGAACATATGCAAGTCATGAAGAAAAATGCACAAAGGTACAAAGGCAACTGGAAGAGTACTAATGCCACTGAAATTGTTGGGGGTCCTACTGGATTCCATTGTTCCCTGGGGTTAAACGGTATTTCAGAATGATCTGAAGTTGCATTTACCTGATTTCTAATGAGGTCAAGTATCTAAGGTCCATTAGCATTTTCTCTTCAGTATGAAATAAATACCTGTTTAAATATTTTTCCCATTTCCCTCCCTCATTGGTTTAACTTTTTTATTCATTTGTACATGGTTTTAAGATTTTTGTAAAGAATTCTCCATAATGACTACTCATCAGTTAAATTTGTTGTAAATATTTTCTTGCTTTTCTCGCTTATCTTTTCACTTTACGACAGCTTTTGTTTAACAGAAGTTCTTAATTTTAGAGTCACAATAATTTTAGAGCACATAGAATCCTGTGAACACATCACACCCATCTTTCCCTCAGGGTGACATCTTACGTAACTGTAGCATGATATCAAAACCAGGAAATTCTGGCTGGGCACAGTGGCTCACACCTGTAATCCCAGTACTTTGGGAGAACAAGGTGGGCAGACCACCTGAGGTCAGGAGTTCGAAACCAGCCTGACCAACGTGGTGAAACCCCATCTCTACTAAAAATACAAAATTAGCCGGGTGTGGTGGTGGCAGCCTGTGATCCCTCCCTACTCAGGAGGCTGAGGGAGGAGAATCACTTGAACCCCAGAGCAACGGTTGCAGTGAGCCAAGATCATGGCAGGAGAATCGCTTGAACCTGGGAGGTGGAGGTTGCAGTGAGCCGAAATTGCGCCATTGCACTCCAGCCTGGCTGGGCAACAACAGCAAAACTCTGTCTCAAAAAAAAAAAAAAAAACAAAAACCCAAACCACTCTCACAAAAAATACCTAGGAAATTCACAGTGGTACAAAACCATTAACTAGATGACAGACCTCGTTCAGTTTTTGCCAGATTTTACATGAACTTATTGTGTGTGTACGTGTGCGTGTGTGCGTGTGAGTGTGACCTATAGGGTTTCATAGAGGAGTTTTACCAAACTTTCAGGAATCAGATTATTCCAATCATGTATTACATTGTTCCACATAAAATATTACTATTCAACCTGTAGAAAATTGACTCTGAGTAGTATATTTGATATAAGTATGATTCTAGTTGTAATATCAAGAATTCACAACAACATTGTGCTTGTCAATTTTGCTTGACTATTGAAGTCATTTTTTAACTTTTTGTTTTTTCACAGAAGTAAACAATATAGAGTCCTTGAAAAAAAAATGCAAATACTTTCTTATATCAATTTAAACTGAAACACCATACAGCTGAGGCAGATAGAAGCACCATTTTGCCTTTGGAAAAGCTCTTTTAGTAAAAGGATTATTTAACCATAGTTTGAAAACTTTATTCTAGAAATTAGAGTTTCATAATTGAGACTCAAAATAGATCCAAGTCTGTTTTAAATAAAAACAAATGAAAAGCCGAGCCACAAAAAATAATTCAGAGATTTGGAACCAACTCAAGAAATGTCTACTAAGACAGTAAATCAACACCTGGCTACAGTAGGGGAAGGGGAAGAAATTGGACAAGTGACTCTAACATCATTTCAAAAGAAAAGATTAAAAAATACATGGAACTGTTGCTTCCTACTTTTATTTTCATTTTATTTCTTTTTAAATTGTTTCTGAAACATGCAGTATTTAGCTCTCAATCCACTTCACTGTGGTTCACACTAACTAGAATGGAGTCCCTTAAAAGGCCGCTAAAAAAGCAGAGTTTCCACATTTATCTTTTTCAAACTTGGCTTCAAAAAAAAAAAAATCCCAAGAAAGTAACCCACAGTTCTTTGTCTACCATCTGAACTGTAAGTTAGTATAAATAATCTAGTTTTATGCGAATAATAGACACTGTGGACTACTAGACAGAAGGAGGGAGGAAGAGAGCTGTGGGTTGAAAAACTACCTGTTGGGAACTATCCCCATTACCTGGGTGCACATGTACCCATGTAACAAACTTGCACATGTACCCCCACCCCCGTCTCTAAAATAAAAGTTAAAAATTTTTTAAATCTAATTTTGAGACAAGGTGCGGTAGCTCACGCCTGTAATCTCAGCACTTTGGGAGGCCAAAGTGGGCGGATCATGAGGTCAGGAGATTGAAACCATCTTGGCTAACACAATGAAACCCCATCTCTACCAAAAATACAAAAAATTAGCCAGGCGTGGTGGCAGGTGCCTGTAGTCCCAGCTACTCGGGAGGCTGAGGCAGGAGAATGGCGTGAACCCGGGAGGCGGAGCTTGCAGTGAAGCAAGATCGCGCCACTGCACTCCAACCTGGGGACAGAGCGAGACTCTGTCTCAAAAAATATATAAATAAGTTCAGTTCAGTTCTAACTGCAATTCCTGAACTACTTTTGCTGGGCCTGCAGGAATTAATGGAGCACACCAGCTTTTTATCCTTAAACCAATCTTGGATTTTAGCCTCCCTGGTATTTTAAGTGTGTTGAATACACTCTCACAAATAGAATTTGAGTCATATTTCTCTCTCTCTGCCTAACTTCTCCAATATTTGTAAAGTATTCATGAATATTCTTAATTCATGTGTTCGTTTGCATACATTTAAGCAGGGTCACCAGGGTCGCTCAGGGAGAGAACGCAGAGGCCTGGCATGCAGGCGCAAGAGTAAGAATTTCTTACCAGTCAGTCTTGGGCCTCTTTCTCTCTATGCAAACTGGTGAATCTCCTCTGTGAAGTGGTAAGTTAATTGGTTGGATAATAAGAAGAACTTAAATATTTTGTCAGAAAAGTGAAAAACGTAAAATGCCTTTTATTTAGTTCATGTGACTTGAGTAATCTTTGGGAAATAAAGACAGTTTTAAAGATTGTTAGCAAAACAATTGTCTTCAAAATGTAAACATGGTCTAAATTATGTTCAACTGTTAGGTTTTATAAATGCTTTAAGGCCATAAGCTGCTTCTTTGGCTTTTGAAAATTGTTTAACTTGCCTGCTTTCCAGCTAGGTAAGGCCTGGGGACATGGGGAGTTGGCCATGCCCCAGCTGTGCTGGAAACAGTCAAACCTTATCAGAATGTAACTTACCAGGTTTTACATTAAAGTGAAAATTGCTAAGAGTCGCCATTGTAGCATGCAATTAAGACTACTAGAAACAGTTTTACATGCAAGGTGTGTAAGAACAGTAGAATATGGAGTTTTTCTTGTAAAAGGATATAAAAGGTTTTTGCTTCTTCAAAACTTCTGAGTCATCATTTTGGCAAATAAATAATTTATGGAATCTGGAATCCCAAAATCAAACTTCAGTTTTAAAATTGTCTTTCCTAATGCCTGAAAACATCCAGAAAAGAGGTAAGTAGGATTATTTGACATGTTTACATATATGGGATTGCAAAAATGACGTTTAATCTTCTTTAGGTTATATTTTTGTGAATAATACTCATATAGATCCCAAAATTGTATAAAGCTACTAACGCAAATAAAACAAAAAATTAATTAAATATCATTAATTAATATTAATTTCATGTTAAACCAGCTAATACTGAAATTGTTTAAAATAGTTTATAATCAATGTTTGATCCCATATTCCTGAAAAAACAAAGCTTCAGGTCAGCCATTTAAACATTTATAAAGGGATTTCATTCAATTGTTATTTTCTTTTTTTTTTGAGACGGAGTCTTGCTCTGTCACCCAGGCTGGAGTGCAGTGGCGCCGTGTCGGCTCACTGCAAGCTCCGCCTCTTGGGTTCACGCCATTCTCCCGCCTCAGCCTCCCGAGTAGCTGGGACTACAGGCACCCGCCACTACACCCAGCTAATTTTTTATATTTTCGGTAGAGACGGGGTTTCACCTTTGTAGCCAGGATGGTCTCGATCTTCTGACCTAGTGATCCTCCCGCCTCGGCCTCCCAAAGTGCTGGGATTACAGGCGTGAGCCACCGCGCCCGGCCTCAATTGTTATTTTCAAGGCGTGTTTTCTGGTTGTATAAAAGCTTTCCCATGCAAAAGGGCTGATGTTATAACAGTAGATTATTATGCTACAATGTATTTTCACTAGGTAAAGAAAGCTTTTTTTTTTTTTTTTTGAGACACAGTCTTGCTCTGTCGCCCAGGCTGGAGTGCAGTGGTGCAATCTCAGCCTACTGCAACCTCCGCCTCCTGGGTTCAAGCAATTCTCCTGCCGCAGCCTTCCAAGTAGCTGGGGTTACAGGCGCCCGCCACGATGCCCAGCTATTTTTTTTTTTTTTTTGTATTTTTAGTAGAGATGGGGTTTCGCCATGTTGGCCAGCCTGGTCTCGAACTCCTGACCTCAGGCGATCCACTTGCCTTGGCCTCCTGAAGTGCTGGGATTACAGGCATGAGCCACTGCACCTGGCCAGAAAACTTATGATTGAATCTTCTGGAAACATCAGAGAAAGACTGTCCTTGCCATCCACGCTACAACAAAATTTTGGAACCTTGAACTTTGAGTTCATAATCTCACAACTGAGAAGGGTCCTTACATGCTCTTGGAGGTGTGCACTCACTGGAACCCTCAGGGTAAAACTAACCAGGGAAGTTTTCCCAAGAAGAGAATGGCATCCTTGATGTGGAGTCCATTGTTTTGGACTGAGTTCATGCATTAGGCCCCAACAAACCAAACCAAACCAAAATGGAGTCACTTGTGCTAAGATTTTAAGGAGACACATAGATTCTAGAGCAGACCAGGTTTTGTTTTTCCTCCTACAGATCTCTATAACAAACATTTCTGATAGCATAGGTATCCATCCCCTAAAGTTCCCGTTAAATCTTTTAACCAAATTCATTTCCTCTTGCCTAGAGACCATCACACTTATGATGGTGCAACAAAGGTTCCAGCCAGTTCCAGGTGAAGACACCACCACTGGCCATCAGAAAGCTACCCTGCCTCCACTAGTTGGAGCAGGGCGAGAGTTCCATGATCCCCAGTAGGTGGGGACTACACCTGGAGCCAGCATGAAGCAGTTACAGAAAAAAGACCATCGGTCCTTCTGCCTCCCACAAAGATTTATGGGGATCACGTCTCTCAGAGGGGAGATGAGGCAGTAAAATAGGGTGTGGAGGCAGGAAACATAAGGCCGATTCATACTTCAGCTATGACAGGAAATATCCTCTCTATAGAGCATACGCCGAGTAAATGACTTTGTAACTTTACTTCATCCTCTTCATTTACATAGGGCGTACCCCAAGTAGAGGGTATTTAAACTCACAAAAACTCTGTAACAGGGCCTTCGAGCCCCTATGCTTGGGCCCGCTCCCACATTGTGGAGTGTACTTTCATTTTCAATAAATCTCTTCGTCCCTTCCTTGCTTTGTTTGTGTGTTTTGTCTGATTCTTCAAGACGCCAAGAACCTGGACACCCACTACCGTTAACAATTTTAGAGCCGAATCCTCCAGCAGGGACTGTAAAAGATTGGATGCTGTATGCATGATACAAACCCTTCACTCTTCAGGAAGAAGCTGGGAGTTGAGGATTCATTCCTGATTGTAAGGAGCTATGCTGAAGATGGGATTTGTGGATGAGTACATGTCCACTCTTCCTGCCTGTTTCAATGTGGATATTTTTCTCAGTTGTTTGGTGTTCAGGAGTCTTTCAACTAGTTTCTGGCTTTCTCCTGGAGGGAACTGATCCATGTGTTTATTTGGTGCATCTGTGGGAGGAGGGGTAGCCAGGAGCAACTATTTCTTCATGTTGCTGATGCCACTTTCCAGAATTTTGTTTTGAGCAAGTGGCTTGAAGTAAGAGAATACGGTAAATGATTTTTAAGGTCTTAATCTCCTTAAGTTAAGGAGACTGTTTTAGCAAATATGTTTTGGAGCAGATATCTGTCTAGAATCGCTAGCACCTAGAGACAGAGACACTAACCAGAAGATGTTCCTGAAATACAGGTGGCAAAGATTTAATCCAGGCAGGTGGTTTTCAAAAATAACAATAAGGGCTAAGTCCAAGAATTGGCATAGTTTATACATAACCATAATGTTTATATTTATTTTTCTCCAAATAAGGCATTTCACTGCATAATATGTAGCTATGCTTTTTGAGTAAGAGGAAATACATATTAAACATTTCTAAAGCATCTGGAAAAATACCCCTTTCCCCCATCTGTTCTAGACAGTTAAACCTACTTTGGACCAGCTGAATTTTCCACAATAGTTTCTTTGGATATTAAAATGACTGAATTCTCCAAGCAGAAAATGAAAATCCTGAAATAGAGACGGAATAACAAGTATTACTTCTGTTCAATCAAATATAAAATTTAAGTGCACAATTAAACTCCTTCTGTTTATGTGCTTTAACATTTAAATCTTCTTACCCCATGCAATAACTGAAACTACCTGATGGAAAATAACCAATCTGAGACTGAATAAAATGAATCTAGTGGTCTCAGGGACGAGCACAGTTAGTCAACTAGTGTTAGTAAAATCCATTTTTATGTCTAATTTTGATTGCAAGTCATTAGGTCAGCACTGAGTTTAAGAATGTGGCCCAAGAGAAAAGCTGAAACATCATGTTCTCACTCTTTGCAACTTTAGCCCCATCTGGTTGAAAATTTCTGCGGTGGTTCCCAGAACAGCTTTTAGATAACACTGAGGCATTTGAAAGGAGCTTTCTAAGGACCAAATAATCTTCAAAAATTTCAAAAGAAAAACCAAATGCTCTTCTAAGCTTTTGCTACTCAAGATGCTTATTGTGGGCCGATCGTATCGACATGTCCTGGGACTTGTCAGACTTGCAGAATCTCAGGCCCCACCCAGGCTTACTGAATCAGAAAGTTCTTTTTCACAAGATCCCCAGGTGATTTAGATTAAAAGTTGGACCTATTAAGTCTTGTTTTAAGCTCTTTGAACAGGTTTTGGTTGGGGGTGAGAGAGTTCCATGTTTTAAGAGATAAGTGCTGATTCTTTGGGAGGAGATTTTCATTGCAGCTATGCAACTGAACAGCTCACTGGGAAAATGCAGAAAAGGAAAGAGCCTCTTTAAGATCACAGCCTCTGGTGGCAACCATGCTCAGAGGACTAACCCATTCTGTGGTACAGTGGAGTTTCTTCACGCCTTTAGGTCACTTATCAAGTTTAAATGAAACCTGCCTATTTCTGCATCAGGCAGGAGCTATTAATGCTTTCTCCACAGATTTGCAAACCCATGTGTTTGTCGTTATGCATTTAAGGATTAGCAGCCATCTTCAAGGGGCTAATCCTTCAGCGCCTGATCAGACAAGAGAAAATAATTAGACCTACAAATAGCCTGACTTTTTAATTGCACAAAAAACATTTCCCTCCTCCCACAGGAGGACACAGATCATTCCATAATCCAAGACATGGAGAGATGCTAACTGAGATGCGTGACAGGGTCCAAATTCAGTCTTTTTCCAATTTTTCAAAGTGCAATTCTGGCCCAAACCTCTGCACAAGCATAGAACCCTGCCAGTTACATCTTGTGCAGTATGAGGAAATCCTTTCCATTTTAGTCTCTGGCAGTCAGGACCCCTCTATTTTGTTTTGAGATTGATTTTCTAGCTAAAACTTTGTACTTTTTGTCCCCAAAGATCTTCATGGGCAGAACAGACAGAGCTGGATGGGGTGGATGAGGAGAGGGCCAGGTGGACAAATGGCTTCATGCTGAGGATGCAGCACAGGAATGGGCTTGTGGAGAAGGCTCTTTCCTTCATTTCTCTTCTTGGATCTCTTCTATCACAAGGGATATGTCAACCCTTCATGCTCTCACCATTATAATAGTAACTTTCGTGATCTAATTTAGTTAGCTCATCAGTGTGATTCCATTCACAAATGACTACCTAAAATGATATCTAAATTTCAAATAATAATTGTAATTTAACCGTCACTTTAACTGATTGCCCAGCCTGCCATTTTAGGACTTTATTATCATGCTCTGCTTAGATATTTAAAAGGGTCTTCACTGAATCAGCCTAAAGCTTCTGAAAATCCCTACTAATGAGTTACCACGTGGAACCTTCACAGAATTCCTAAGCCTCAGTGTTCCATAATAGAGACAGGCATAGAGGGAAGAATGCTGACTTTGAAGCAAGATGCACCGAAGTCAGCATCTTAGCTCTGTCATCTTGGGTAAGTTACTAACGCCTCACTGAGTCTCAGTTCCTCACTGTATTGGGGGAAATAATACCTATTGCATAGTTTTCTGTGTAGATTAAAAGAGATAGCAAATGTAAGTTGCTTAGCAAGAATACTGGCACCTAGTGGGGAACCAAGAGGTTTAATCCTTATTTTAATCACCCTTTCCTTTCTTGACAAATGGTGTCTGTAGCCTGAGCCTGTCAGAAGGTTCTGTGGCCAAAACTTTATCGAGTGAGTGCAATCCAGGGAATCCAAGGAAGCAAAAGTGAAGGAATCAGGTAAATGAGATGAAGGAAGAGAAGAAGTACAGGATGGTACATTTCCAAGCTGTCTAGACTGGACCGGAAAACATCCTTGTTGCTCAGTTATGCAGGACATCACCAGGGAGGGCATATGGAAGTGTGCGTCTCAGCACAATTTCTCGGGAGGAGGAGGAGAGAATAATCTATCTGTTGGCTCCTTTCTTTCTGCGTTGCTTGTTGGCTAAATCCAGCCCCCACTGGCACAATTAGATTGTCAACTCACCTAGATTTCTAAGTTATTTTTGCCACAAGAGTGCTGGCATTGAGCCAATGAAAGGGCATGAGCCAGAAACATTTAATACCTGTCTGTCTGCAACATGCAGCTTTGAAGATCCATCTTGGAAAGTCAGTGGGTTGGGTGGCTTAGGAGGCCTCTGGCATCTGCACCTAGCATTGACAGGAAAGCTCAAGGGTGGGAGGTGACGGCCCTGCAGTGTGAGGTCAGAGGTGTGACAGGACACACAGCCTGGTCCTTCTTCAAACTTCACGGGACTTCAGGACCAGCTGCTTGCTGCAGCAGAGTCAACCGCTGAGCAGCTCCCCTGAGTGGGCAGGGACGAAACTCAGTGGGCAAAGAGGGACATCTTCTCTCCGTGCCAACGATAATGCCATTGGTGCCAAGAAATCTCCCTGGAGAGTCACCCATAGCACTGAGCAGAAAAATAATAGCCAACCAAATCTGAGAAGTGCATGAACTGGGTCTGGTATTGTGAGAGTAGGATATGGGCTTTCAATAATTCATGAATGTGGAGGGATATAAAATCGGCTCTCAACACAGGTTTTTTTTTTGTTTTTTGTTTTTTGGTTTTTTTGTTTTTTGAGATGGAGTCTCTCTCTGTGGCCAGGCTGGAGTGCAGTGGTGCGATCTTGGCTCACTGCAACCTCTGACTCCTGGGTTCAAGCAATTCTCCTGCCTCAGCCTCCCAAGTAGCTGGGATACAGGTATGCAGCACCACGCCCAGCTAATTTTTGTATTTTTAGTAGAGATGGGGTTTCACCATTGTTGGCCAGGATGGTCTCGATCTCCTGACCTCATGATCCGCCCACCTCAGCCTCCCAAAGTGCTGGGATTACAGGCGTGAGCCACCGCGCCCGGCCTCAACACAGTTTTGTCTTGGGTCAAGTTTATTTTTAGTGCCCTTCGGATTAAAGCTCAGGAGAAAGGTTGGGTTTAGAGACCTTGATTTGCAGAATTCGCTTGTCTTCTGTCTGACTTTAAAGTCTATTTTCAATCACATCATTGTGCCTACTGCTTCAGTACAAAGATGGTGCCAAAGCCATGGGATGGAATATCACCACCCAGAATGAGTAGGGACCAGGACTCCTCGGACCTGAAATGATGGAACAAAAGGCTATGGAAGCTAAGGTCTTAGCAACAGAGAGAAAGCCAAAAGAGAGAAATTAAGAAATTAAGAAAGAAGAGATTTTCAGATTAAAGGAAGGGATCCTCAGTGTCAGATGATACAGAGAGGCCAAGCAGAATAGGAAGAAACAAAATAACAGAATTTTGTAACTGCCACTCTGACCAGAACAATTTCTGTGGCAAGATGCGGATTAACTAAAAGTATTGCTGAGTATTGAGCAGTGTAGTGAAGTGAGGAAATAGAGTGAATTAAAAAAATTTTTTTTACCTAAAATTGGCAAATAGGAAGACAAAAGTTTTGGTACCTTGGTGGGGAGGGGGAAATCAGAGTTGAAGTAAGTTTTTTTTCAAAGCACAATTCATTTATTCAATCTGCTATGACACTATTGGGTGGTTTCCAACTTCTTGACAATTAGAAATAATGCTGCTATAAACATTCTTGCAAATGTCTTTGGGTGCATATGTGTTCCTATTTTGGTTGAGCATCTCTAGCGATAGTCATGGTGCATTTCAATATTCAATCAATAGCTCAGTTTACTGATATGTCAGTTACATCATGTTGATAAACCATCTGTTACCTTACTATTTATGTAAGTTTCTGTTCTGTAAGTTACTGACGGAGGTGTCTTAAAACCCACAGTACATTATTGATAACTACGTCTCCTTTTACTCTTGTTAATTTTTGCTGTCTTAGAAAAACATACAAATTTTGAATTGTATATTTAACCATTAACAGATTTAGAGCTTTTTTATATCTTCTTGGTAAGTCGAAATTTTTGTTGCTGTGAAATTTCCTTCTTTATCTCTAGTAATATTTCTTATCTTGAAGTGTTCTTTATCTGATATTTACTATCTCTTGCTCAGGGTTTGGAAGGAATATCTTTTTCTATCCTTCTACTTTCAATCTTTCTATGTCCTTATATTCAAGACTTGTCTCTTGGAATCAGAATATAGTTTTAAAATCCTATTTTCTCTGATCAAACATTGCCATTTCTAAAGCATTTAGTTCATTTATGTTTATTATAATTATCTAGAAGCAAGGTATTTTTAAGATAGTGGAAGCATTTATTCTATTTGTGGGCAGGAGGGAAGGAAAATCTCACCTTAAGTAGCTGTCAGCCTGTCTTTCCCTGGAGTCCCCTATCTCCACATTCTTCTATGTCCACTTTGTCACAGCTTCAAAGGGGCAGATTTCCCAGATCCTGCTAATGCTGCTGTTCTGATTAATTTGGAACTTCGGAAGAAGTTTATTTGGAGTGGCAGAAATAATGACTTTTTTATTTATCCTTCTGACTTTTGTCTTAATATGTAATCCAATTTTATCTAATTTTTTTCACACAAGCTGGTATTCCCTGTACCCACTATACTATAACCTTCCCTTTATTTATAGAGTGGCTAATTTAGTGAGCACTCACTTGTGCTTGATGCATGGTGGGATGAAAGGGGAAGGGGCATGGTTGGGAAGGAGGCTGGATATACTGGCTGAGCACTGAACTGTGCAGCCTGTAACAATGGAGAGCTTGCAATTCTCTGATGCACAAAAGTTGACGCTGACCTTCTCTTGGCTGAACTGTTTGCCACCTTTTCCTTAGTCAACTCCCAAATGACAGCATCCTTAGCAGAAAATCCTTGCCACTTGGTGAGACAGATAATCCCAGTGGTTAAACTCATGGGCTCTGAAGCCACACTAGTTTTAAAGCTTGGCTCTATTCCTTATAATCTGTGTGATCTTGAGCAAATTCTTTACCTTCTTGAGGCTTCATTTCTTCATCGGTAAAGTGGGGATAAAATGATACTACTTTATGGATTTTTAATGAGGAGAAAATGAACATATATGTTGTGATGTTAATTTTACCTGTCAACTTGGCTAGGCCACAGTACCCAGTTATTTAATTAAACAGTAATCTAGGTGTTGCTCTGAAGGTATTTTGCAGATGTGGTTAACATCTACAATCAGCTGACTTTAAGTAAAGGACACTATCTTCTATCATCTGAGTTGGCCTTATTCAATCAGTTGAAAAGCCTGAAGAGCAGAACTGAGATTTCCAGGGGAAGAAGAAATTCTGCTTCAAATTCTGCTTCAGCCTGCCGGCTGCCTATGGATTTTGGACTTGCCAGCCTCACAATTGCATAGACCAGCTCCTTGGAATAAGACACAACGTGTATTTATATCCTAGTGGTTCTACTGCTCTGGAGAACTCTGACTAATACATATGCGCAAAACCTCTGGCACAGTGCCTTGCTGGCCATCAGTCCTCAGGAAGTGTTGGCCTACCGTTATTATTCTACGCATATCTGATTAGCACAGAGAATGCTTTCTGGAAGCATGAAGCTGTCAGAGGATAATCCCTACCAAAAGGCAAGCTCAACAGTCATTCATTCTTGTCATACCTCCTGCAGTTGTGACCTGCTTCTGTTCTGTTCTGTTTTGTTTTTCCTGTGCAATGATGGTCCTTATGATGCTCTTCATAATATCACAGGTCTTGCACCACGCCCCACTTGGCAGCTGATTTGCCCCCTGTGCTTCTCTGACATTTCCTTGAGAAGGCCACTGGCCACCAAGCTGCACTTCAACCTCAACCTCTACCTCTTCCATCCTCTGCAGCACCTGTGGCACTGTTGCTTGTGTGCCCTTTGTGGTTGTTTTGTGAGTCAACATTGAACCCTAGAATATTCCATAATGGAAGAAAGAGCGACCACAGAGAGTTGAACTCCATCCTGATTGGACAAAGCACCCTATGAGATGTCAGCTCATTGGCTGAGAGCTTTGGATAGCACTTTATTTACTCTATATAAGAAAATATTTTTGTAGGTCAAAAAGATTGACCTACAAAAAGGTCAAAAAGATTGAATATTGGTAACTTCACATGCTTCACCCTAATAATTGTACTCTTCCTTACTGGAATGGATTTATACAGTCTCTCTCTCTATTTTTAATTAAAAGATGTTTCTATGACCAGAGTATTACAGCAAATCAGTGCCGTATAGGACTGCACTAAGCAACATACATGTGTTCTTACTGTTGTTATCCTCATGAGACTTTATAGCAAAAGGCAATCCAAGGGCACCACAGAGTGAGCCTTGGCCTGAACAGGCCACTTTCCTGGTCTTGGTCTCTTGGAGATGGAGTGGGCTCAATGAGGAGGTACGGGAAGCTCTCTGATTGTCATTACAGACAGGCAGGCTTGGAGCAAGCTATGCCTCCAGCCCAGAGGACCATCGCAGAGCCATTTGTTTGCTCCCCTGAGTATTAGGTGTTTTGTTAGCAGCTCTTCTCTGCCAGTGAGTGATTTTCATTGTTTTGTGAATTTTTAGTACAGATAGTATCAAAGGCTATGTGGCAAGATGCTAAGCATATACTTATGTAGGCTTTTGCGAAGCAGAAAAATATTGAATTTTAGTCATTAAAAATTGTACACTTCTGTCTTATGCATCACACCGTCTACAGAGGCTGTTGAAGTGCCACATCCTTACTGGATGCTCAGTGAACACGTAAGCTGCCATTGATGTAGTGGTGACAAGGCCTTGACTTTTAGCTGGACTAACCAGGCTTAAGTCATAGTTCTGCTACTGCATCGTTGTGTAACCTTGGGGAAGTTAACCTCACTGTGACTCAGTTTTCTCACCCAAAATGTGGACAGAAACAATCCCCTATCTAAAAGGATTGTAATGAGATAGTATCTGTAAACCATGGTGCTATGTATATAAAAAGCATAGTATGTGCTGACTATTGTTATTCAATGAATGACTCTTAGTACACAGGAGACATTTTAAAGTTCAAATTGTGTTACAAAGAAGCAATACAATGCCGAAAGCAAACAATCTACGGGATGCCCAAACTCCAAAAACTATCCTATGCTTTCTCTTGTTTTAGGATGGTATTGGTCACTGTGTGCTATTATGGAGGTCATAGACTAGCTTAGGTCTCAAGAGGACTTTTGTTACACTGTTTCCGTTCTAATCCATTTCTTCTGCCTGGCATTTGATACCTCTTTGACAAATGCCTGAAGTGGCTGATGCAATCATTTCCTTCCTACTGACCTGTGGCTGTGGCATTGATATTGTTTGCTGGGCTCCATCAACAAGATAACTTGACAGGTATATCCAGATCCACCCACTTACCCTGAAATTAGAGACTGTATCTATGCATTTTGTCCACAATGAGTTAAAAATGAATATATTTTGCTTCTTTTGTTCTATTGCTACCTGGCATTTTAGAATCTGACAGTATGTAATCATACTAAAGTATTATTCTAAACTTCTTTGAAAGGCATATCTCACAAGAACTCAGGAAACCTAGACATCTTTATGAGTTCTTTTCAAAAAATGTCTTGGAGGAAGCTTGGAATATTAACAGTGCCTGATTTTTCTCACTGCTCTGAAAACTGCATTCAGATTCACTCCAAAGCTACAGAACTTGCATCAAAGAATTCAGCCCAAGAGGAGAGAAATGGCCTTTCCAGCAAAAGTGATAAAAGTAACCTAAATTTCCAGGGTGCCTTTCCACTGAAGAACTCATAAAGGCTTTACAGGATTTGCTGAAAGGATTTCTATCCAGAAGGGTTCCTTTTCTTGGGTAGCATTTGATTGATAAAGTTTCTCAAAGTTTAAATATATTTCTGAATGTCTTTCTCATCTTCGTTACTGTGTTTTCTGCTGGAAAGCATTTCAGTTTAACTTATGGACATCCATTCCTTTAAAGAAAAAAATCAGGGCAAGAGCTGAGTCACTTTTCTTAGTCCTCTCATCATTGAGTTTCTCTGGATAGCATTTTCTTCCCAAGTCCTCTTTTCTTGTTCAGCCACTTCTAACTTCGTCTTTCCACTGCATTTTAATCATTCCCAGCCAGGGCCAATGAGCTGACAGTGCCTCACTCCAGGGCCCAGGGCCCCAGTTAACAGCCTTATGTTTTTTTTTCTTTTTGAGACGGAGTCTCGCTCTGTCGCCCAGGCTGGAGTGCAGTGGCCGGATCTCAGCTCACTGCAAGCTCCGCCTCCCGGGTTCACACCATTCTCCTGCCTCAGCCTCCCGAGTAGCTGGGACTACAGGCGCCCGCCACCCCGCCCGGCTAGTTTTTTTGTATTTTTTAGTAGAGACGGGGTTTCACCGTGTTAGTCAAGATGGTCTCAATCTCCTGACCTCGTGATCCGCCCGTCTCGGCCTCCCAAAGTGCTGGGATTACAGGCTTGAGCCACCGTGCCCGGCTAATTTTTGTATTTTTAGTAGAGATGGGGTTTTACCATGTTGACCAGGATGGTCTCTATCTGCTGACCTCATGGTCTGCCCACCTCGGCCTCCCAAAGTGCTGGGATTACAGGCATGAGCCACCTCGCCCGGCCCCATGTCTAATCTTTAAAAAAATGTTTGCAGAGATGGGGTTTTGCTATGTCGCCCAGGCTGGTCTTGAACTCCTGGCCTCAAGTGATCCTCCCACTTTGGTCTCCCAAAGCACTGGGATTATAGGTATGAGCCGCCACATCTGGCCTATATCCTTCTATTATAAGAGCTGTATATGTTCATTATAAAACAACTTAGAAAAAACTTTCTGTATGTAATCCTACCTCAAAGAGATTAACAATGCCACCCCCCCTTTTTTACAGTTTCGTTATTGACCCTCAAAAGTCAAAATTAGAGTCATTCCTTATAGGAATGATTTTTTTAAAAATCAGAACTGAAAGAACCAGTACACTTGGCATGATGTGCCAAGTATTTATAAATTTTGTATCGATTTTGTAAAAAGCTTATATTATTTTGTGACTATTTCCTCAGGTCTTATATCCTCCAGCGACTCCATGAGTTTATTGTTTGAAAGCATGTGAGGGTTTAGGTAATCCCAAATGCTCATGAAATTCTAGGCCCTGAATGATGGATTGTGTTGCTTGTGACTCCAAAGAAAGGAAAATAATAACAGACCAGGGTCCCTGGAAAGTGAAGGGACAGTTATAAATGTAACAAACCTTCAGAAATGTGTATTAATCATGGTCCTCCAGAATAGAGTCAATAGGAGATATGTGTGTGTATATATATATACTTAGAGAGAGAGAGAGAGGCTTATTTTCAGAAATTGGCTCACATGATTGTGGGGGCTGGCAAGTCTGAAATCTGTCAGGCCGCCTGGCAGGGTGGAAATTCAGGCAGGAGTTGCTGTTGCAGTCTTGGGTCTGAAATCTACAGGCAGGGTTTCCACATTGCAGCCTTGAGGTGAGGGAGGTGGAGTTCTGTACCCCAAAAGTCACTCAGCAACCTCTTAAATAATTGCTTTCATTTATAGTCTGCAACCAGGCAATTCAATACCAAAGTCTCAGGAGATGCCTGACAGTAAATGGCTGAAGAACAATCCAGAACTCAAAGAAATGCTTGAAGTCAAATGCTCCTTCCTGGTTCTATTACTGCATATGTGTTGACTTAAATAACTACTGTTTCTTAATGATTCTCATTTTCAAAGGCCAAACCTCCACATTAAAACCAACCAACACAAATCATTATGAAACTGTTAGGGGATAGGCTGATTCCTGTGCTGAAACTCGTCAACAGCGTACAAAGATGAAATGCTTCCCCAGTGATTTTACAGACCTGCAGCCAACGTTTTAGGCTTCGGGAAATCTGCAGCCAGGTCGGTGTCTTCTGTAAGCAGTGTCTGCTATAATTAGAGTTTGGGTCAACTCAGAACCTTTGTATATACTTATTGATTTGTATAATAGCACAGAAAGAAACTTCAGAATAATCCGTCTTATAAAAGGCATGGAAAAATCCTGTGTTAAGTGTGAGTAAATTGAGTCCAGGGCTTCCTTACTCAGGTGTTGGCGCAGAGAAGACAGACCTGGTATCATTCAAGGATACAATCTGCCTGGGTACATAAGAAAAAAAAAGGAAGATGGATAAGGGAGTTTAGGGTTTAGGCAAGAGTGGGATGGAGGTGCTGCACCATGAAATCTAAATTGCAGAGGAAGGGAGGGAAGTGAACAGAGGCAGGGCTGTGGATAGGGCCAAGATGGAATATGGGTGAGTTGGGGGCCTTGCTGACAGTTCCAGGTCAAAGCCTGGGACCATGTGCCGGGGAGCAGATGCTCCACAGAGGCGGGGGCCTTCACCACAAGGTGGGGGAGGTAAAGGTCTAGAAGAGATCTGGAAGGTGGACAGGACAATAACCCTCACCTCCTGACCTGGGGAATAACAATGATAATTATAATGATGGAATATTAACAGCTCCCCATTCTGGAGAGAGAATTTGGAGCCAGGTACACACAGTAGGAAGACCGTGAGAAGACACAGGCAGAAGATGACCATCTACAAGCCAAGGAAAGGTCTCAGAAAGAAGCAACCCTGCCAACACGTTGATCTTGGATTTTAGCCACCAGAATTGTGAGAAGACAAATTTCTGTTGTTTAAACCACCCAGTCTGTGGTACTTTGTTATGTTTATTAAAGGTGCAGAATTGGGATCTGTACCTGTTTTCACTTTATATCATCTGTAGGGAGGGATGTCTTTGCTAAGTAAGCAACTTTGATTACAGTATCCCTCCTTTTACATTCCTACGAATTTTCTCAATTTTATATATGTATTTCTCTCCCACCTCATTGATCTGATTATTAGTAGTAGGTGTGAGGATGAATTAAAAGGCACATTGGCTCTGGTACTAAAGGAATAGAAAAACAAAAAGAGATTCTAAATATTCTCATAGAATGTAGAAGTGGGGTGAGATTCTTAGAGTTTTACTCTCGACTGCATGATTTTCATCATGTTTCAGAAATCTGAATGCTAAGGAGGTTATGAGAAAACTATGCATATAGGAAAATAGCAACAACCAAAAGATTTAAGGAATGTAAGGAGTACATATGAGGGCTTATGTACATTCTTTTACCTGTAATTAACCATACAGATTAAACTGCACACACATTTAATGGCGTTTTCTTTTATTTTTTCCAGACATTCATTTACTCCTTAAACAGTTTGCCCTCATTTGCACAGAGCAAGGTAAGGTCAAGCACTAGACCATTGTTAAGTACTATTTTAACACATATGCACATAATTCCTTCTCTCTGTGGCCATGTGTTCAGAACTGCTAACTGGATACAAAGGAAGGAAGGATTTCAGCATTCCTAGTTTGGGTGACATTTTCTTATCTCATGATGAGCTTGAAGCCAGACATAATAAGTTGGCCTGTCCTCAAGCCACAAGAACTTGAAAGAACCAGATCTGTCAGACACATCAAACCCACCTTGGTTGGTGTGAACCACTCAGCTGTCGGCACATGTCCTGTTTGGTTTCTTCTTGTGAAACCCCAAACTCCAGGATGTGCACGTGGTATTTTTTTCTATAAGGTCTATTCCAAAACCACTCAGTTAACATGCTAAAGCAAACCCATCTGAGTTGGGCTTCCTTTGGGTTATGCTTTCTTTTTGTCCTTGCAGCCCAGCCTCCTGCCTCTTCCTCACTCCAATATCATCCTTCCAATGCTTGGTCCCACTCGCCCTCATAATCCTTCCTTCCGAACCAGTACACCCGACACCCCCGTACTCCCCACTGTTTATAAACTCCCCTATAACCTCAGACTCCTCTTTGAACCTCCTCCTGGTCTCCCCAATGTGACTGTCACTAGCTCTCCCCCGAGACATCCTAAAGACCTCATGTTACCTTAATCATGTCTCTGAAGATTGTATCTCCAAATGAAGTTACATTCTGAGGTACTGGGGATTAGGACTTAAACATGCAAACTTCTGGGAGGACACACACTTCAGCCTATTATGGTGCCCTTCCAAAAGCTTCTGAATTTTAAGTCAGTGGAGATTTTTTTGAAATCAGTTGAGCTTTAATCAGTAAGGTCTCCTGGCTCTACAGACAACTTCACAACACATTTTATGGAAACGGACACACAGATAGGAAGGGAAGGTCTCTTTAGCAACCTCATTCTTCTTCTGAGAATGTCGAATGCATCATCGACCTAGAGAAAGCCATTACTGAGAAGCCTAGTCCCTGTAGAACAAGCACCTTCTCAGGCAAATTCTCAGCGCATTCTCAAATTGCCCAAAGTGCTAGCACTTGACAAAGGTCAAGGAAATAACAGCAAATCATTAATAAATGAATCCATCACTGGGTACTGCCTCTTGGGTCACTCCTGAGCTACTTCTCAAAAGAGTTTTCTTACCTGAGGTTTCAATTTCTGTTACTATGATAGATTTTAACCATAAAAAGAATCTATTTTGTAATGAATGGTCTACCAGCCTGGGCCTTGGAGTTGTTCCTGACCTTTGTTTCCAGTTAAACAGTGGAGGGGAGCCACATTAAGGAGACCTCACCATCAAAGACAGGTAGCATCACGGGGATGGAAATAGGCATAACCAACATTTAATCAGCACAGTTTAACACAAAGGATGAACAAAAGTGCCTGACAGGAATGGAGGGTGGGAGGGTTGTAGGAGAGAGCATGAAGTGAACTCTGAGAGATGGCCCAGGGTGATGTATTTACTAATGGTAAAGGTGAAATTACTGATTCCAGGAAATGAGTCAAGGTTTGGAAGAAGAGGTGGCAGTTTTACGATGTCTTGCAGCAGAGGGAAAGAGCTTAGTGAATGGTGATGGGGGACATGAGAAGTGTTCCAGACAAGTGTTCATGAAGTGAGTCTGTCAGCAACAGGCCGCTCCATCCAGCACAAGCTGGCCTGGTGGAAAAGTTATAACTTAAACATTGCTCAACACTTGGTGTGCCAGAACATATTGTACCCCTTGTTTGAGAAGATCAGTTTCTTTTACCCCCTTCTTGGCATTTCAGGAAGCCACATGGATTTCTCCCCAGCACCCCACTCCTTTCCAGAATCCCATTTTCTCACTCTTCAGCCACATTGGACCATTGTGCAAATCTACACACCTTTTCAGTGCTTTCCCTGCACATGCTCTTACGGGTGTTATTTCTCTCTGGAAAGTTCCTATGCTTTGATCCTTTCTAAGACTTATTCAGTGTCAACTCCTTTACAAGGATTCTCCTGACCCTTTTACTTTGAATGTTTTCTGTTCCTCCTCTGGACACCTATAGCATTTTAAACTTACGATGAAGTTCAACCTGTTTCATTATATATTAAGATTAACTTTCTCTAATCTGTCCCCATTTCCAATAGACTATCTAACTTCATGAAGATGCGGATTTTTATTTTCACTTTCTTTATATCCTCACCTATACCAAACACAACCCGTGCACATAGAATGTGCATCATAAATACCAGTTGGGTGAAGCGGAATCCATATTTGCTGAATGATGTTGAATGGATGCATGAAAATGGCTCCCTTCCTGTGGGTACTTCCTTACTGAAAGTGAGATCAGAGTTCCACACAGCATGGCACTCTGGGGGCTGGACCACAAGTGCAGGAGGGGTGGATTGGTGCTAAAGTGTCAGGGTATGGTGTTAAGGGCACTCACAAACTACGATCCCAGGGTGAAGCCAGAGTTGAGAATGAAACAGATAGTCCAAAGGAAATGTCAACTGAAGAGGCAGCAACCAAGAGTTCAACAGGGCACAGTAAGCCAGCTGGGCTGAGGAATGGCTGGGAGGTGTGGTTGACGGGTCTCCTCAGAGAGGCCAGGGTTAAAAGATTGGAACCTAGTTGGTGAAGAACTATTAAGTGGAGTAAGCTCTTTAAGATACTTTGCTCCTTTACTGTTTCATTCAGAGATGTTTCAAACCATTGTTTGCCATTGTCTTAGTTCAGATATCATCAACATAGCTTGATAGAAATTCTTACCAGTTAGTCTGGGAGGTCATTTTTCTTAATCTTTCCTTTAACAGGAAGCCTTCAAAGTATTCAGCCAGTGCCGCGTTGTTATCTGTTACCTGCTACAACCTTGAAAATGAGGTGAGGTGAGGTGAGTGGATTTCTCTAACTCTGGTCCAACCGAGTGGCTGGGACAAGCCACTGATGACTCGTCACCTCAGTGACAGCCAGCAGAACTTAGCCAGCCTCCTAGAATCTGATGACCAAGTTGTGTCTCTTTGAACTTTGATTTTCTTCTGGGTTCTCGATCTATTGGTAATGGTGAGACGTGGTGAAAAGGGTTCTAAAATTAGTCCAAGTCCCACTTTTTTCACTGAAAAACTTTGTGGCTTAAGGGTAGATACCTTGCTTTTATTTTTTATTTTATTTTATTTTTATCTTTATTATTGTGTTTTGAGATGGAGTCTTCACTCTGTCACCCAGGCTGGAGTGCAGTCGTGCGACCTCGGCTCACTGCAACCTCTGCCTCCTGGGTTCAAGCGATTTCTCCTGTCTCAGCCTCCTTAATAGTTCAGATTACAGGCGTCTGCCATCACACCTGGCTAATTTTTGTATTTTTAGTAGAGATGGGGTTTTGCCATGTTGGCCAGGCTGGTCTTGAACTCCTGACCTCAGGTGATCCACCCGGCTCAGCTTCCCAGTGTTGGGATTACAGGCATTAAGTCACCTCGCCCGGCCACCTTGCTTTTACAATGGGATAATAATCACAAGTAGCCCTATTTGTAAAATCTCGAAGGTCGTGGCCTGGACACAATAGATTCTTGAGGCTGTTTTCTTCAGTTAGTTTAGTTATTGTGTTTATTAATGGTAAGTAAATACTATTCCTTGAACACTTGTGTGCAAGGGGCTCAACGGGACAGTCCCTCTAATTACCTACCCTCTATGCTTTGGCCTGCTTGTCCTATGGACCAATTTGCCTTGAGGAATCCACAGTTCTAGTAAGCCTCTGCTGTCTAGAAAAAATACTGAAAGTGAAATCATTGATTCATTGATATCTGTCTCATTACTTTATATATATTTCTGTAAAATGAAGATGATTGAAAAAAAAAAAAAAAAAAAAAACTACCTGACAAAGCCGTGCCAAAGATGAAATGTGACTTGGAAGGGATTTGTGGACTGTGAAAGCCTTGAGAAATGTAAATGATCATTACCGCCATTTGTTCTCATTTGGGAGTGCCTCTTCCGGCCGCCCTGGTCTGAGCAAGATCAGCAAAGGAGCCGGGAAGGGCTAGTGGCTTTTCACGCCGTGCCTGCCCTCTAGTGGCTGTGATCTGCAGCCGCTTTGCCGAATGGGTGGCCCAGAGAGGAACGGAGGAAGTTCAAGGAGAAGTGTTCAGCGGGGCCATCAACGTTGTCCTCAGCCTTCTCTTCTGTGGGAGACAGTGCCTACACTCCTTTACCTGTCTACAGTGCCTGATGTAGTGGAGGGACAAGGCTTTGGAGGTCAATAGCGCTGACCCTGTCATTTACCACTGACCTGAGTCAATTTACCTAATATCCTCTGTGCAAAATGGGAGAAATTGAAAGTGGTTGTGAAGATTAAATAAGCTAATTTATGTAAAATAGTCCTCCCAGTATCTGGCACATTTTAAGCATTTTTAAAAAGGCTTTTCATTCCCTTCAAACTTTATTTATATTTTGGGGTTCGTATTGGCAGGCTACTTGGGGCTGGGAGTATATATTTAATCCTTATTTAGATCATCTTAGATGTGCTTCCAAGAAGCAGAATGTTCCCTCTCTAACCCTTTCAAAGGGAAAACAGCTGCCCTGGGACTGATAAGTTCTACAATTACAGGGTTTGATAAATCTGCTCATCTAACTCTGTTCTCATTTTTCTTTTCCGATATCTGGGTCTACTTGCTGCTTTAACTGGGCATTGCATCCTGCCCAGCAGAGATTTTGAGTGGAGCATCTCTCTCACGAGCTTCTGAGGTCAAGAACTGTCTTATCATCTAGCATATTGCCCAGGTCTGATCTTCAGGAGCTGAGCGTGAGCAGCATTCACGGGGCAGCCATTCCCTCCACTTTCCCTCTGCCCTGCATCCAACACCAAAGGGCTGAGGCAAATCAGGTCACTCTCTGTGCTTTGCTGGGAAGGCACACCTTCAAGGCAGGAGACATCATTTGCTATTTCCAACGTGGATATTTTCGTATTCTCAGAAATTTTCAGACATTTGAAGGGATGGGTCTTTAAATCACACAGAGGTAACACATTGAATGACTTCAGGCCAGTTACTCAACCTCCCGGAGTGTGCTGGGACTGGCTTACAAGAGTCAGTTGTGCCTCTCTCTTGTCAACTGCACATGGGAGCAAAGATCTGAAGGAGATAAGGGAATGAGCTGCTCAGCTATCAGAGAAGACTGCTCCAGGCAGGAGAACGAACAAGTGCCTGGCATGTGGGGGAAACATCAAGGGGCCTGGTGTGACAGGAGAAGAGGGAGCAGGGGAAAATTTATGGTTGAAGAGGGAACCAGGCCTTGTAAAGACACTGCCTTTTTCTCAGAGTGAGATGAGTAGTAGAGTCTGAGTGGAAGAGTGAGTGGAAGGTTTAACAAGATCATCCGAATATTGGCCCCCGACTCTTTTCTGGTTTGTAGAGTTTCTGCCGAGAGATCTGCTCTTAGTCTGATGGGCTTCCCTTTGTGGGTAACCCGACCTTTCTCTCTGGCTGCCCTTAACATTTTTTCCTTCAAGTCAACTTTGGTGAATCTGACAATTATGTGTCTTGGAGCTCTTCTCGAGGAGTATCTTTGCGGCGTTCTCTGTATTTCCTGAATTTGAATGTTGGCCTGCCTTACTAGGTTGGGGAAGTTCTCCTGGATAATATCCTGCAGAGTGTTTTCCAACTTGGTTCCATTCTCCCCGTCACTTTCAGGCACACCAATCAGACATAGATTTGTCCTTTTCACAATAATCCCATATTTCTTGGAGGCTTTGTTCATTTCTTTTTACTCTTTTTTCTCTAAACTTCTCTTCTCGCTTCATTTCATTCATTTGATCTTCAATCACTGATACTCTTTCTTCTAGTTGATCGAGTCAGTTACTGAAGCTTGTGCATTTGTCACGTAGTTCTCGTGTCATGGTTTTCATCTCTATCAGTTCGTTTATGGACTTCTCTGCACTAGTTACTCTAGTTATCCATTCTTCCGTTCTTTTTTCAAAGTTTTTAGTTTCTTTGCACTGGGTACGTAGCTCTGAGAAGTTTGATTGACTGAAGGCTTCTTCTCTCACCTCGTCAAAGTCATTCTCCATCCAGCTTTGTTCCGTTGCTGGCGATGAGCTGCGTTCCTTTGGAGGGAGAGATGCGCTCTGATTTTTTGAATTTCCAGCTTTTCTGCACTGCCTTTTCCCCATCTCTGTGGTTTTATCTGCCTTTGGTCTTTGATGATGGTGACATACTGATGGGGTTTTGGTGTGGGTGTCCTTTCCGTTTGTTAGATTTCCTTCTAACAGTCAGCACACTCAGCTGCAGGTCTGTTGGAGTTTGCTTGAGGTCCACTCCAGACCCTGTTTGCCTGGATATCAGCAACAGAGGCTGCAGAAGATAGAATATTGCTGAACAGCAAGTGTTTCTGTCTGATTCTTGCTCTGGAAGCTTTGTCTCAGAGGTGTACCTAGCTGTGTGAGGTGTGAAGTGTCAGTCTGCACCAGGTGGGCAACATCTCCCAGTTAGGCTACTCAGGGGTCAGGGCCCCACTTGAGCAGGCAGTCTGTCCGTTCTCAGATCTCAACCTCCCCATGCTGGGAGAACCACTGCTTTCTTCAAAGCTGTCAGACAGGGACATTTACATCTGCAGAGGTTTCTGCTGCTTTTTGTTTAGCTATGCCCTGTCCCCAGAGGTGGAGTCTACAGAGGCAGGCAGGCCTCCTTGAGCTGCAGTGGGCTACAACCCAGTTCGAGCTTCCCAGCAGCTTTGTTTACCTACTTAAGCCTCAGCAATGGTGAAATTCAACAGCCTTTCAAGCTAAAAACTCTCAAAAAATTTGGTATTGATGGAATGTATCTCAAAATAATAAGAGCTATTTATGACAAACCCACAGCCAATATCATACTGAATGGGCAGAACTGGAAGCATTCCCTTTGAAAACTGGCACAAGACAGGGATGCCCTCTCTCACCACTCCTATTCAACATAGTGTTGGAAGTTCTGGCTAGGGCAATCAGGCAAGAGAAAGAAATAAAGGGTATTCAGTCAGGAAAAGAAGAAGTCAAATTGTCCCTGTTTGCAGATGACATGATTGTATATTTAGAAAACCCCATCGTCTCAGCCCAAAATCTCCTTAAGCTGATAAGCAACTTCAGCAAAGTCTCAGGATATAAAATCAATGTGCAAAAATCACAAGCATTCTTATACACCAGTAACAGACAAACAGAGCCAAATCATGAATGAAATCCCATTCACAATTGCTTCAAAGAGAAAAAAAAACCTAGGAATCCAACTTACAAGGGATGTGAAGGATCTCTTCAAGGAGAACTACAAACCACTGCTCAGTGAAATAAAAGAGGACACAAATAAAAGGAAGAATATACCATGCTCATGGATAGGAAGAATCAATATCATAAAAATGGCCATACTGCCCAAGGTAATTTAGATTCAATGCCATCCCCATTAAGCTACCAATGACTTTCTTCACAGAATTGGAAAAAAACTGCTTTAAAGTTCATATGGAACCAAAAAAGAGCCCACATTGCCAAGACAATGCTAAGCCAAAAGAACAAAGCTGGAGGCATCATGCTACCTGACTTCAAACTATACTACAAGGCTAGAGTAACCAAAACATCATGGTACTGGTACCAAAACAGAGATGTAGACCAATGGAACAGAACAGAGCCCTCAGAAATAATACCACACATCTACAGCCATCTGATCTTTGACAAACCTGACAAAAACAAGAAATGGGGAAAGGATTCCCTATTTAATAAATGCTGTTGGGAAAATTGGCTAGCCATAAGTAGAAAGCTGAAACTGGATCCTTTCCTTACTCCTTATACGAAAATTAATTCAAGATGGATTAGAGACTTACATGTTAGACCTAAAACCATAAAAACCCTGAAAAAAAACCTAGGTAATACCATTCAGGACATAGGCATGGGCAAGGACTTCATGTCTAAAACACCAAAAGCAATGGCAACAAAAGCCAAAATTGACAAATAGGATCTAATTAAACTAAAGAGCTTCTGCACAGCAAAAGAAACTACCATCAGAGTGAACAGGCAACCAACAGAATGGGAGACAATTTTTGCAATCTACTCATCTGACAAAGGGCTAATAATATCCAGAACCTACAAAGAACTCAAACAAATTTACAAGAAAAAAAC